GTTTTGTTGCCATTGTTAAAAGTTGTTGGTGGTGGTGTTGTTATCGTTGTTGCTGTTGTTGTTGTTGATGATGTTGTTAATCTTGGTTGCTGTTGTTGTTGCCGCTGGTTTCGTTGTTGTCGTCGTTGTTGTTGTTGGTGTTGTTGTGTTGTTGTTGTTGTTGTTGTTGTTGTTGTTGTTGTTGTTGCTGCTGTCGTTGTTGATGATGTTGTTCATCTTGGTTGTCGTTGTTGCCGCTGGTTTCATTGTTGTTGTTGTTGTTGTTGCTGTTGCTGTTGCTGTTGTTAATGATGTTGTTAATCTTGGCTGTTGTTGGTGTTGTTGTTGTTGTTGTTGTTGTTGTTGTTGTTGTTGTTGTTGTTGTTGTTGTTGTTGTTGTTGTTGTCGTCGCTGGTTTCGTTGTTGTTAGCCAGCACCTCTTCAACATATGACGCGGGTGCTTCGGCGCGTGCCGTTTCAGGCGATGTGCAAGTTGAGGCGGCTACGCTGTCCAACGGCAGCCCTGATCTGGAAGCCCCAGCCAGCACATCTTCAACATATGATGCGGGTTCTTCGGCGCGTGCCGTTGAATCAGGCGATGTGCAAGTTGAGGTCGCTACGTTGTCCAGCAGAAGCCCTGAGCTTGAAGCCCCAGCCAGCACCTCTTCAACATATGATGCGGGTGCTTCGGCGCGTGCTGTGGAATCAGGTCATGTGCAAGTTGAGGCCGCTACGCTGTCCAGCAGCAGCCCTGATCTGGAAGCCCCAGCCAGCACCTCTTCAACATATGATGCGGGTGCTTCGGCGCGTGCTGTGGAATCAGGTCATGTGCAAGTTTAGGGCTACGCTGTCCAGCAGCAGCCCTGATCTGGAAGCCCCAGCCAGCAGCTCTTCAACATATGATGCGGGTGCTTTGGCGTGTGACGGCGAAGCCCGCGGTATTGATTCTTTCATTGACGTTCTGGGGCTGAGGCTTTTGGAGCAACATGAAGCGCGCGGACGGCAGCCCAAGTTCATCCGTGAGTTCCACGAGGAAGAGTTGGTGGAAGAGACGTGGGACCCGGAAGAGAAGTGGCATGCGCTGCAGAAGTCTCCTGTCTTCACGCGCACGTGCGCCTCTTCGCCGACAGGTGCTGAGGCCCGGAGGCTGACACTTGCTCGGCTTGCTGGCGACGTGGGCACGGAGTCAGCGACCCAAGAAGAGCTGCAGGATGCCCCTTGGCAGGGGTGGGGTGCGCGAATCAAGAAGCCAGCAGTAGCGGTTGCTGCTTAGGTGAAGTCTCGGTTAAACACGTCTACCACTATGCGGGAAATTACTTGCGGGGCTTATAAGTAGGTTATAACTTAGGTCATAAGTTCTGTAATATAGGTTATAAGTTCGATAACCTGCGTAAGTGCGCCGTAAGTCGGGGTCTACTTATGGGACTTATGGCTTGTGCGTCAAAGAACTTACGATGAACTTAGGAACTACTTAGGGTGAACTTACGTTCGCCAAAAAAATGCGTACCTGTGCAGGGTCTATAGTTATAGTGTGATAGGGTTGCTAAAAATATATAGTCATCCCACATAGGCTTTTCTGTGTCCCCAGAGTAGAAAACTTGTATTTGCTTTTTGCTCGCTTTTTTCTTCCGCCTCTGCTTCTGGCTCTTTTTTGTTTTCCCGCAGCTGCTGGCTCAAGCTTTTGCTTTGCGCGGCACAATGGCCTTGGCTTGTCTGAAAGCCGTGTCACGGTGCCTCCCCGCGGCCGCGGCCGACCCGGGTGGCAGAGAGAGGCTTCTGGCATCTGCGCAGACTTCTCTGCCGGGGTTTTCTTTTGCGTCTTTTGTGTTTGTTTGTTTTTTCCGGCTCTTTGTGTTTCGGGCTGTAACTCAAATTGTCCAATGTCGGCATTTGTCGGCGAGGTTTTCTTGGCACCCTGGATTCGTAGCACCCCCCCTGACGTCGGCCAATGTCCGCACTTGTCGGCATTTGTCGGCGCATGTTTTTGTGGTTTTTGCCTGCGCTTGATATCGACCGCGGCTCTCTCGGCTCGAGACTCCTTTGTTTTTCTTTTTTTTCCTTCCTCGCAGCTGCCCGCACGCTATGGCGGAGACTGCGGCCCCGAAGGCTTCGACTCGCCGAACAGAGGTGCCGCTCTGAGCACCCGTGCGGCTCCGTCTGGCGGCACACTGGGCGCGAGATCTTAACGCGGCCCAGCGTGGACGCTCCCTCTACAATTCCAGCTATGTGGACCACGTGCGACCAGGACTTGATCTGCCTGCACTAGTTATAACCTTGCCGCTGTTTGGTGGCTTCATGTGTATATAGCACGAACTCAACACCCGTGCCGAGAATGCGTTGTGGAAAAATAGTACTGCCGCGGCTGCCGCCCGAGTAACTTAGGGTGAACTTATAAGTTCGTTTTAACTTGCATAAGTTAACTGCTTCATAAGTAACTTTTAAGTTAGATCAGTAACTTATAAGCCCCGTAAGTAATTTCCTGCATATTGGTAGCAAGCTGATTCCAGTGCCCTGAGAAGTTTGTCCCAGGTCGGGAGCAATGTGGTCGCCGCCACGAAAGTCATTGGCGGCGCCTTCTTTGAGGTCCACCAGTTCTCCAGCAGTTGAAATCACCGGACTGGGATGTTACCAACACTCCGGAGGAGGGCGAGCGTTGCTGAGAGCTCTTGAGGAGCGCGCTGAGAACAGCAAGAGCTGCGCTGTTATATTGTTGGCTTCGCCTTCGGCAATTGCTTTCTACAGCCATTGTGGGTACAGCGCCCTCGCAGGAACAAGCACTGTCGTTGAGCGAGCCCTGTTCCATTTGAGTGCGCAGGCGCCCTTTCGGCACCTGCCGATGCTCAAGCATTTGTAGGTCAAGCCGTCCAGCCGGCCCCCAACAAACGGATGCGGCCGAGTTGCCCAGGTTTTAGCCCTGAATAAAAGCACACGACGGTGCGTGGCGTGAACCTTCTCCCCCTCCGAGCTATGATCCTAATTTTGATTGGGACGAGTGACATTGATGCTTGGACTGAATGTTGTTTAAAACATTGCGCTTGTTGAGTCTTGCATCTTGAGTGCATTGCCTGCGGCCTTTTGATTGATTGCCTTGATTCATGTTTGTTCCTTGCAGCCGTGTGCACATTTGACTATCACCATGCCGTGGTTAGAATGGTGCCCTGACCCTCAACGACCTGACGCTCAATGGGTCAAGATTTTTCATCCAGGATCATGGACACCACAAGATGAACGTGATGATCCGCCTCCACGTCATACGTACAGGGAGTGGAAGGAGTTCTATGCCCCAAATCTTGCTCAAGAAGGTGAACAGCCCACCAGGAGCACTTGGTACAAGAGGGACTGGACCACAGAGGGCTACCGGCGTGTTGCAGCCCCTGAAGCTGATCACGGCTTCAATTCGATGTCTTCTCCTGATCAACATAGCGTGGCCACGCAATCATCGGCTTTGTGCATGTCTCCGCAGATGTTGAATGCGATTCTTCGATCATCGGATGCTTCGGCTTTCTCTACTGAGGATCTCACTCGTCTTCAAGCTGGGATCTGTCAGCAACTGTGGATCGCGCACGTCAAGCGTCCCATCAGCACCAACCAGTACGTGCATCTCGTGGAGTTGAACCACCTGAGTCTATTGGGGTCGCTGATCCATATCTACCTGCGACCCAACCATGCAGCTCTAGCAGCAAGGAGAAGCCTATCTTCGAGCTAAGCGATGAACAGACTGATGCGTTTTGATCGTGGCACAAAAGGGTGCTTTCTCATGCTCTTGCTTTCTTGTGTATTTGCTGGTTGTGCATGGTTGTGCATGGTGACTGTTTCCTTGCTAGCTGGATCGGAACCTGCGGTACGCCCTGTCTTTCACTTCGACATGGACACAGATGATGCAACTCAGACGTTGGCCCGAACTGTTGAGCAGCACCCATGGCTCGAATATTCCGTCTGGCAAGGTCAGGAGTGGGTGCGGATCTATACTCCGGGACAACTTCAACTGTGGCACCCAGAAGAGGCAGTACCTGACCTACCAGACAACTCGTTTCGGGAGTGGAAACGGGTAACCGATCCTGATGATGGGACTTGTGAACCAGCTCAAGCATGGACAATTCGTGACTGGCAACATCAAGGCTATCAACGGATTTTGTCCCGCTATGAGTCTTTCTCCACCCATCATGCTCCGGATCAACCACTTGTTGAAGTGCAAAATCCGGACATCATCCGGGTCGAGGAGATGTTCACCTACGCCCCACCCATATCTGACGGTGATCGCTCGACATCTTTGCAGCTTCCGCCTGTCTTCTATGGCGGCACACGTCTTGCTCACCTTGGAGATCCTTCGTCCCCGTCTTCTGAGCGGCCTCGTACGGAGCGTGCAGTTTCGCGTTCTCCCCGCCGCTGTGGATATTTTGGTAGACGTTAAGAGTTGAGGAGCTGAGCATGTGATCTTCCGGCAGAAAAAGAGACTTTTCGCCCCTCACAGAGGGGCGTGTGTGTGCGGAGTGGCAGAATACCCTGCCACCAAAACCTTTTTCCGCTGCAGCAGGGGGCCCGCGAGCAACTGGATGGCGCGGGCCAACGAAGACCCATCCAGTTTGCTGTGCAAACGTACCTGCATAAGTGATTCAAGGTCCGTTTGGTCTCCTCCCTGAATCGCTGTTGCTTCCTTGTTTCCCTGTTCAAGTACGAGCCGAAACTTATTGTACTCGAGACTTATCAGTTGTACTCGAGACTCATCAGTTGTACTCGAGACTCATCAGTTGTACTCGAAAGATTAGAACCCTCCATCTGGAGTCCAAGTGTCTGTGTGTGTGTGTGTGTGTGCAGATGCATGTGCATACGCGTAGGCTCCTTGTATGTTCTGGCGCGATGTGTGCGTCTGGGCAGAACGGTGCGGCAAGGTTCTCCACATTGCTGGGCTGTCCTCCCAAATGACTTTTTATGTTTCGGGGCAGGCTTCGTAGTGAAACAGAATCTGAAGATGTGATTTTTCCGTGTCCAGATGTCACCGTGGGCCCTTTTGCATCGCCCAGGATTTCGGGCAACGCCTTGATGACGGTCTACGAGAAGAGCCGAGGCTCAGCCCAAGCTCTTGGCCTGGGCTTCCGGGAAATTTTCTTCTGGGGGGTGTTGCTATACCTCAGAATGAACATAGCTTTTGGGCTTGCGACCATGTCCATTTAACCCCAAAGTTTAGGAGGTCGTTTCGCGGATGTCACTTTCATGGGCCCAGTTTAGTCATGCTTCGTGAATCTTGCGTTTTTTCTCTTCAAAATCTTCAGGCACAACTCTAAGGAGATTTTGCTCGGAAATCTCCATGCGTTTTGGTGGGCCGTTGAACGCAAGAAACTAGCAACAAGGGAGACTTTGCAGGACATCCTTGGTTTTTGGCAGGTCATTATTTGACCCATTTCTCTTAGAACTTCCTGCAGTCGGTTTCTATGATTGAGGCACGATTCCCTGGAGCTTGTTGAAACGAGGCGTTTTTTTTTTTTTCCGCTCTTCGCTGACCACTTTTTGGCAAGGGGCCGAAAACCACCCTGGGCGAGGACGCAACTTGATGCATGCATAGGTGTCCGGTTTGATTGGTTTGGCTGGAAAATGGAGGGCGGTTCCTGGTTTACCTGGTGGTTCAATCCTCTACCAAGGCCATCGATTTTCCAAAAAGGACACCTATTGCAAGTATTCTTGGAAGCTTGGGTCCTGAAGGCTCCCTCTACCTTGACTACCTGCATGATCCAACTGCAGCGAGAACTGGAAGCAATGGGGAGATGATAAGATGAAAAGGGTGCCATTGTTGAGCGAGACCCCTGATGAAACACATCTTCCAGGTTAAAACCACTGTTTGGGGGGCATTCCCACGAAAAGAGCAAGGGAACTTTGTTGTGTTTTTTCGTCGCTCAGACAACCAATCCCAAAAAGGGTGCCGAGCCTCAACAAACAACACACCCTAAACTGAGGAGAACAGAGGGCAAAACTGAGGGGAAACTACGAGGGACACTAACACAAATTTGGGGAAACTGAAGGGGGTCCTGAGGGGAGACTGACGATGAAACTGACGGGGGGGGAACTGGGGGCGTCCAGAGGGGGGAAACTCACGGGGAAGCTGAGGAGAAAACTGAGGAAACTGTCATTTGAGAGGCTAACTGTGGGTAATCAGAAGGCTGCTTTGTTCATGGTTCATTCGTGAGCGACCTGGGGAACTCGCGAAGTTTCCTCAGAGCCCCCTCAAAAATACTACATCCATTTTCCTTTCGGTTCACCCCAAAAAGACGGGGGCGCCAACTCAACCAGCAGAGCCACATGCGCGCCACGGCCACTTGAGGCCAATGGCGGCAGGCGCAGAATTTCTCGGGGCAGCTGGCGGATCTCAGGGACGCGGTGACGTGCAACGGGCTGCTCAGCGCCTACGAGAAGGGCCAGCGCTTCGGATGGATCGATTTCCGAGCGAAGCGGTGGGCGGAAAGGGACACCCACAGACTGTGTGGGGATCGCAGGAAAAGAGGGACAACCACCAGAGGAATTTTGGGGATCCCGAAGTTGGAGGAAGCAGAGTTGGGCCAAAACAAATCACCTCCAAGTACTCAGCTGATTTAGAGGATCCGGTTGAGCATGTGGGTGTGGGTTTGGATGTATCCTTGAGGGCCAAGGTTCATCATTTTTTTAAATATATTTTTTGGGGGTGTTGATTCAAAGTCCATTTCCCGGATGGCATCCCCAAATATGGAGCCAGCAGAAACATATCCTTTGTAAGAAAGAAGCTTACATACGAATCATAACCGGGGATCCCGTCCCAGAACTCGCATTTGTTTCAGGGGATTTCCTGTTTTCTACCGGATCTAGCGTGGTTCCCAGCCTGGACCTCCAGCACCAGGTTTTTCCATTTGCAGGTGGGTCTGCCTTTGAAATGAAGCCAGCCAAAGCAAGGTGCCTTGTTCCACTCCACTGAAATTAGCAGCATCTTAGAGGTTGGGAGAGAAAGCTGAGGTAGTCCAGCGTCGAGTTGTTTCTTCTTCGTTGCAGAGGTCCTGTTAGTTTTTCACCAATCGAAAAGGCCGTTTTTGTTTGCCCTTAGCCATTGGAAGCTTGGGCTAAACGACCGTAAGTGTTTGTAATACACTGCCTGAAGTGTAGAAGGGGGGGCCTAGGCAGTTTTCTCCGTGGGACTTTTTTCATGTGGGCCACCAAGGTGTGCTTCGGGTGGACTCTCCTTAACCTTTCCCACCCATGACCTCCGGCTATGGGCTTTTGCTGTTATCAAAAGGCATGCTAGGTGCCCTAAAATGCACGGACCCGGTGCATCCCAAAACCACCTCATGTTACGGGGGTTTGCTATTTTGGGCGCAATCGTAAAGCCGACCATGCTCAACCCCAAAAGCCCCAAAACCAAGGTCAACTAGGAAGTTCCCTTATTCCTTTAAGTCGTTGCTTGAGACACCTGGACCCCGGCCCCAAGAAAACGCTTCCAAGGGAAGCCGAAAGGAGGTCACCAGCAAAGCCCTTCGCGAGGCAGTGGGCTTCTGCGGCCTGGCAGCTGTCGCAGATGCGTCGCTTCGGCCCCCGCTGCAGCGTGGTGTCCTTCGGAGCGCTGATCAGCGCGCGAGGGAAGGCCTGGGAGGAGGCGCTGCGCCTTCGGCCTGGAGTTGCACGGGATATGTCGGTCTGTCTGTTTCAGGGAAACTCCTTGTTTTGTTTCTTTGAGGAAAGCGGAGGGAACAACGAAGCTCCCATATAGCATGCCAGATAGGTGGGTCCCCTAGCCGCAAGGCTGGAGAGAGCCAAGGAAAAGCCATATCTATATATACCTGTATGTGGATGTGTCTGAAGTCAGGGGCTCCAAAACGGCAAACAAATCTCGGACAACGCCAACGAAACTGGGGCCGCTTTCGTTTCTTCCACGCCCACGTGCTGGTGACAAGGGGTCCCACGATTCCCTTGACCCAAATTGGTCATTTAGCACGAAATCCATCACTTTATCGGGAAACGGAACGAACCTGCATGGGAAGACCATGTTCCTTTTGGCTTGCTTTTCTTTGCTCTCTTTCCCACGGCAAACGTAGAAGATCGTTGTACCAGACACTTCTTGACAACATCTTTTCTTTGTTGCTTGTTTTATTGAAATCTTTTCTCAGCTGTACCTTAAGGTCCTGGGAGTGCTGCACTGCTGCAAGTTCAGCATCCCAGAGACACGGATCTAGAGCATCCTTTGCAGTTGACCTTTGTTTGCACTCTTCTTCTGCCAAAGGAAAAGTCCCCTGCTGAAAGCTTTGAGGTCGGCTCCGGAGTGCCGAAGCTCCGAAAAGGTCCCTGGAGGTACGGAGGGTTTGCTGGGGCCACCTGGGACCTTGTGTTCCATGTGGCTTTGCACGGCTTTCCATGGTTCTCTATGATTTGAGCCTACTTTCAAGCTTCCAAAATCGGGCTCTTGATTTCTAGGTCCTTTGCTTGTCAAGCCTTTTTTGAAATTCTTTACCTGGGTCTGGGGAATTCGACCATTTTCATACCAGGTGTGAGGTTGTAGGTTTTGACTCACCCGCGCGTTTCTCATCCTCGGGGTGACATCTAGGTCCCCCAGTGGTGCCCTTTTACCGTTTCTTTTTTGGGGGAGGGTTCCCCTAGTAAAATAGACAAACCAAAAACAAGTTGGTGCTTGTTTTGGGGCAGGGTTCCCCTCAAATAGATTCAAACCAGAAAAATACCAAATCGGGCACCAACTTCTAACCTCTCAAATCTGGAGGACCTAGGTTATTCTCCCTAAAAGCAGCGGGTTTCTAGTGCTTTCTTTCTTCGAGTTTCTAGTGAGTAGAGGACTAAAAACCGCTGCGCTCATCGATGACCTGAGGCGCTGCGAGCTGCAGCTGCGGGCCCTGGGCCTGCGGCCCAGCCGCGTGACCTGCGGCGCGCTGCTGGGCGCCTGCGGCTGCGGCCAGTGGCGCCGCGCGGGGCTTCTCGTGGAGGCGGGGCTCGGGGGGGGGGGGGGGCGAGGGGGTGACCCCATGGGCTCGGGCAAATGGAAAGGACTAAAGCCCTAAAGCCTGCGGCGCAATTCCTGGTGGTTGAATTCAGGCATTCTTTTCAAAAACCCAGCTGTTTCCCTCGGGTTTTGGACGGTTTCCTGAAAAGAAGGATGGAAAGATTGGGGAAGCTTCCCCTACAAGACATGTCTGCTCTTTGGACCAGAAAGGCTCCTTGAACCAACAGTGGGCCTAGTGTCGGTGTCACAGTGGGCGCGCAGGTCGCAATGTGGGCCATAGACCTTTTGAAAACGAGTTGCTTTTCCATTTGCCATGTGTGGGCAAAAAGGGATTATGATCAGGGTCGGTTGCATGTTTTGATTTTGAAATACCAATCCAGGCAGCAGGCGAAAAACCGGGCGTGGTTGAATTGTGGAAGAAGCTCCCCAAGGTAGACTTGTCGGTTGATTTGTTTCGACATACCCACGCTCTATTGGTTTATACTTGGGCTGAGGGGGCCCCAAATCCACAAGGCTGGTCAAACAAGCAACCACTGTCTCATGTAAGGGGGGTTTGCCAGGGTTGGTTGCATAGCAATTTTAGACAATCAGACCCTGGCCACCTTAGGCAAGCCAAATGAGGTTTTTGAAAGAGTGGTTCAAACAAACATTCGGGTTTGTTTCAACAAAGGGAGGCCCAACAAAACCCCTTGGCCGCAAGGCTGGAAAGAGCGCAAGCAACAAACAAATTGTGGCTGTCCTTTTGGCTTCCTTTAAGGCCAACTCAAAAAAGGGCACCCTCAAACAATGAGGTTTTTTTTTTTTAAGGGTTGGTTTCCCTAAAGAAAACACCTCAAGATTCGAGCCCTGGAAAGGATACACCTATGTTTAAGCAAGGCTCGGCTCAACCTTGCCTGTGGCGCAGGCAGCGGCGGAGGAGGCCGACGCACTGGGCGTGGTGGAGATGAATGCGGCGCTCACAGCGCCAGGGCAGCAGGGGGGTTTTCCTGCATAAACTTCGGAAAATGTTGGACTCAATTCGCTTCTCTGTCTATTGGCACATGTTCTGGCGTACCTGGAGTCTCCCTGACCCTTTAAAAATGGGGTCATGCCCCCTTTATATTTTGGCCAATGACCCCATTCTCTAAGGGTCATGGAGGCTCCAGGCATCCCTTTCTGGTGTACCCCCCTTCTTGGTGAGCCAAGCTCCACTCCGATGCCCCGCAAATCCCCGCCCCTCCGAAACAAGCGACGCCGCAACCGAGGCCTTCAGCGAGAGCCACGTCACGGACAAGGCGCTGCGCCTGGCGCGGCACATGGTCCGTGGGAAGGCGCAGGCGATTCCGCGGCCGCGGGTGTCGGGGTTGGGCCCTCCGCGGCCGGGTTCGGGATCCGCAAAATACTTGGGTCTCAAAAAGAAGCATCGTGCCGGGAATTTGGGGCAGCACCCGGATTTTGGATCGTATTTTGGTTTGTTTTGGTTTTTGTTTTGTTTTTTTGATGGGGGAAGGGGGGGCGGGGGTGGGATTCCGAAGGCTTACGAGAAAGGTCCCCTTTCGCTTGAGCTGGGCCCTTTCTAGGATGTGATCTTTGGCACCATTTCGGGAGGGGGGGTGAAAGAGTAGATGGCACGACATTCGCATGTTGGTTTCCCCTTGGCCCCCTGACTTCCCGACAGAACCCAGGGTTAACTATGAGTCACAAACATGTTTGCTCATGAACTCAGAAGTGAAAGGTCGCAGCAATTTGCACCTCCAGGCTAAAGGGTAGATAAACCACTTGGTGCCAAGTAATAACTTGTGCCTGCCGCCCGTCTCTTCGTATCATCCCAGAGGCCAGGAAAATGGAAGTACTGTCGTGTTCAAAGCAAAAGCGTGCCCAAAGGGCATGAAAAATGGCCGAAGAGGGCACTGATGAAGCACCCACCCGCCAATTCCTGTAATGAAGTCAGCTGTGCACAACCTCTGCAGAAAGTCACCTTGCTCGGAAAAAGGTGTCCAGCCTGCCCAGCTCATCCTTCCTGTCTTCGGTATCCGTGTCGGCGTATGCACTGCTACAATGATCATGTAAGTCACCACTCATAAAGTTCAAATGCTACCCAACATAGGCTGGTTAATATGCGCTCTGCCAGGAAAAAAAGGTCCATTTGGCAGCCCCATCTTCCACCTCCGCACTGCTCTTCGTGTAGACATGCCCATGCTCAATGGCCATGGCACTCGGTGCGAAACCCGCCAAAGGTGCTAGCTCCCAAATGGCTACCTGGGTCCCCCAGTAGTGCCCTTTTGCCCTTATTTGGGGGAGGGTTCCCTACAGACAAAAAGGTACCCTTATTCTAACCTCTCTACTCCCGCCACCAAAGGACCACTTCCCAGTTTTGAGTGTCGCCCCCATCTGCATCTGGAGGCAAACCGGCCCCCCTCGTCCCCTTTTGTTTGGTTCCCTGTTTCCAATCAGGTCACTGGTTCCAACTACCAAATAAAGGTTTCCCATTGAGGTTCCATGGCGCCATGTCCCACATAAGAAACTACATGCTTCCAATGTGCCAGAGCCAATTATTGTTCATTTACCCGCAAAGCAAGAGAAACCACAAGGGCGTGCTTCAAAGAATCAAGATCCCATACTTAGCACCTCAGGAAGACCCACCTGGTCCAATTTGAAGGGGGGGTTGCCAGCCCGTTGCAACCCATGGCGCGCGCGCACGCGCAGGCGGACCTCGTGACCTTTAATACGGTGCTGGCGCTCTGTGCCAGGGGGGGCCTCTGGTCTCAGGCGGACGGATCCATGGCTTTGGTATGTATTGTGTTGAGACCTCTATTGTGGCTATTTCATCCCATGGATTTACTTCACTCATTTTTTTTAAGCTGAAAAGACTTGGGCCTTCTCGGACATTCGGGGGGGGTGCCAAAGAATAAAGTCATATTGATTTTCAAAGGCTGGACATTTTGCCGTGCCAAGTATCAGACTGGTGTTTTTGGACTTCCGTAGGGGATGGGGATGTGGTGGGAATGGGGTGGGGCACGGTTGGTTGCATATTTGCTTAAACTAGACCCAGATTGCACCCAACCAAACGCAAGTGGCTCAAACAGTAAGCGCGTAAACATGTGCTGCGGTGTTGGCCGGACCCTCGGCTTTTTCCTCTCCCGGAATCCAGTCACCTTCCATGCTACAAGTTGGCTCTTCCCCACTGCCGCTTGAAGAGAAAGCATGTCTCCCAGGATTCCTGGAATCCAGTGAGGTTCCATGCTACATGTTGGGGAGGACCCTTCCGCTCGCCATATTTCCCAAAAAGTCGCCTGGCTTTTTTCTAGACCCCAGTCTGCTGGACCCTGGGGCCATTTTTGAGGCAAAGAAGTCGCGGGCGCGTCCGGCTTTGACATGGCAGCATTGCAGCAGAATCGTCCGGGCCTCCACCTTCCCCCATCCCTGCCCAGACAGAAGCCTCACGCAACGGTTGAGGCTGGCCAAAGGAATCTTGCGGTGGATCAATGGAGTGAGAGGCGAGTCTCAATGTCACATCTCTAGGTGCCGGGAGCCCTTCCAAAAGGAAAGCAGTATTTCCAGAGGGGTCTATGTTAATTTGCTGTTTGGTGGGAGTGCAAGAGCCGAGTGTGGCAACAATCTTGCGAAAGTTGGGTGTCTCGTGATCTTCAGTTGCCAGCTGAAGACATGGGCATAGGCAACCCTCGACAGGACAAGCGCTTGAATTTGATGTGGCGAATTGGTCAACACGCGAAGCCTTTGATTGGAAAGCAAGCGAGGGCAAGGTTGCACCAATGCGATGCTAGAAGGTTCAATATGTTCAATGACATGTGCTTCGAAGCTTCCCATGAGCGCCCCAAAAGTCTCAGTGGCTTTTCAAGGTGGTTTGAGGGATGTCATATTTATTTGGGCAACAATAGCGAAGAAGCTGAGGTCTATCTGATTCCCGTTCAGAAACCTCAACATCTTTCTAGTTGTGTGTTGGTGTGGCAACCACCGAGGGGCCAGGCTTGTCCACCATAATGGGTTTGTGTTTTTTTTAGGTTGGTGCTTGGTTGTTGCTTTGTAGTGTCTGGTGATTGTTCAGGCACTTGAGCCCCTGACTCTCGCAGCAGAGAGAAAACACACACTCACACACTCACCTATCCGGCAAATCAAAAATCCAGGCCAATCAGTGCTGAGTTTTGTTTGGGAGTCCCACGCTAACCCTCTCCGGTTCCGGTTCCGCAGGCCCTGCGCCTGTTGCAGAAGCAGCCCACCTTGGGCTTTGAGGCGGGAGTCGGGCGAAGGAATTGTTTGGGTAGAGTCATCCCAGTTGCTCAGTGGTGCCCCTTTTTCGATATTTTTTTGGAGAAGGGTTCCCACCAACCAAAACAAGGATGCCCTTTTTGTCCCCTGGCCACTAAACATCTGAGTCGTAGCTCTAGCTCTCCAAAGAGGGATCCGGGACCCGAAATGGTTGGCTTCAGCTTGGTGCCCAACAAACAGCCAAAGGACAAAGGGATGCGAAATCCACGTTGAGAAACTCCCAGAAGAGTTGATGGGTTTGCTCAGGCGCCAGCACACTCAGCCCCTTCAGTCGCCCCTAAGGCCTTAGGACATTTTTTGCAAGGTGAGCCGCGCCCCGCTGCCGTATTCTGGGCGGGTTGTCCCTTTCGTGATTCATGTTTGGGGAGAGGGGTTCCATTAAAGATACTGCTGGATTCAAAGAAGGACTGAGCCCAACAAAAGGGCTGTGGGCACAGCCAAGTTTGGATGAATTCCTTTGCGAATTCCCACAAGGACTCATGACAGCTCCCTTCCAGCATGTTGCTGCGCCAGAATGCGCCAGAGGTTCTAGACACAGTTGCCAGAAACGGTTGTTCAGCAGGGTTGTGAAGCAAGGATGGTCTAAACCGTGGCTTAAACTACGGGTTGGATCGCCTAACCCTGGTGCAGACCCTTCAAGAGCGCTTTAAAAGATAGCTGTTTGGTGGGCTCCCCACTAAAAACTGGTCAACCCGCCAGAACGAAATATGAGGTTCCCACGAAAATATGAGATGGTCAACGCCCAAAATGACATGAACTGCTCCCCTCGTTTGCTCACTTTCCCAACGCCGACCTTTTGGACCTGTTGGTGTTGCAATTTGTTGGCCCATGGTTAGTCATTGGTTGTTGATCATGTTGAGTCATGGCCCATTGTTGATCATTTTGCCTTCTGTTGCCCAACTTCAAATCATTACCATCATTGCCAACTTCAATTCCAATACGAATGGTGTCAGTTGTCCACTTCTGCCCTTTTGGTGTTCCAAGCTTAATCCAAACCTTTTGACTTCAGTTGCCCTTTTGGGCTGGGGGCCCAACAAGCCCCAAATCCGGCCTTATTCGGGGCGAAAGGGCTCGTTTGGGCTCCCTCCCCCTCCCCTCCCGTCCGTCGCAGGCGGGGGACTTTGCCGCCGCGCCGGACCTCCTGAGCTTCAGCGCCGCGCTGGGCGCCTGCGCGGGCGGAAGGGCGGAGGAGGCTCTGGGCGCCGTGGCGGAGGGGAAAGTTCGGGCGGGAATCCACGGGAAAATCCGGGAAGCCATGAGAATCCATGGGAAGAAGCCAGGTCCCTTTTTGTTGATCCGGTTGAAACATGGAGGGCGATTCCTGGTTTGCCTGGTGGTTCCATCAACTACCAGGGCCATCTATTTCCCAAGAAGGATACCTATGTCCTGGAAACCGCGGGAATCCAGGGGAAGCTTCCATTTGCGTTTCAGAATGTTGGTAATTTTTCTCTGTTGGTGTTATATGTGTGTTCTTTTCCTGGGGCCAATCAAGGGGTTTTCCGTTGGTTTTGAAGGGGACCTATGACATTTAGTTTTTCCAGGGGAGTTCAGCAAATGGAGGAAGCCACGGGCAGCCCATGACAAAGGGCAGGCGCGGGCTGAGGTTCAGATCTGCCTGTGGGTTTCGAGCTCACCGATTTGGGTTTCGAGATAAAACGCTGCAGGCGCTCTATTTGAGAAGCCCTTTCAGGTTTTTGAATTGTAGAGTTTGTAGTTGCGCTGCGAGACTTAAACTGCCCTCTTGCCCTTTTCGGGTATCCTTGTTGTTCCTTTCTGGCAGGCAAACGGTTCACTTGTTCAAGGGTTCTAAGTGTGGCTAGACAGGGAACCAAGCGGGTCAGTCTGAGATAGCTTCCACGCCAAAATCACTACCTCTGAGGTTGGACGGGATATGCAGCCACTGCGTAGCCACTGCACTGGTGCAAATGGTAAAGAGCTCGGCGGGGTAGTGCAACGAGCTCACCTCAGCCCGCGTACTTGACCCAAATGAAGGCAACTCCCCCTCTTCAGGTGATGAGATGGCACCTTCCAAGCGTCAAGCAGTTCTCCGCGCCATACTGGCAGAATATTGCAAGTAATTGATCGTGGTGTTTCGTTGTTTGGGGCTTTAACCAGTTGGTTTACTTTAAGGTTTTCGACCCAGTCTGGTTTCGACCAGTTGGTTTCAACCAGCTGCTTTCAACAACTAGGTGATACAAAGCTTCCCCCTAAAGGGTGGCCTGACTATGTGTAAAATGATAAGTTTGTGGAAAAGGGTGTGTTCACTCCTATATAGTTAACCAAAAAAGAGAGATCCACGTCGGCTCCGACCGGCGCGTCGGGTCGCAGCATTTCTGAGGCCTCCTGCGCCTGGCGGGCGCCTGCCGCGTGGCCATCGACGCCTTGGGCGCCACCGCCGCAGCTGCGGCCTGCGCCAAGGCACGCGCCTGGCGCCAGGCGCTGCGTCTGGCGGCGCGCCAGGCGCCGAGAAAATGGGAGCGCCTCAGGTCGCCACGCCGTCGGCGACTTTTTTGGCGGTTTCACTTCAAACGACTCGTGACATAATAATGAGCCAAATTATTAGCGTAATACCCAACATGACCAAAAACTACGTGAAGTAGTCATGACTCATGACCCCATTTGTAGGGGCGTCATGGAGACAGGCGGTTTCCCTTCAAACAACTGGCCATAAAAACCGAGCAACTCCAAGCGCCCGCCAATGTTTTCAGGACCCCATCGCCCTGGAGCTGTCGACCACCGCCGCCCTCGCCGGCGGCGGCCTGCGCCTGGCGCCGCGGCTCCTGGGCGCCATGGCCTCCGCCGGCGCCGCCGCCGCCGCGGAGCTGGCAGACGTCGGGGCGAGGGTGCGGGGAGAAAAGGCGAAAGGCGGCGAGAGGCGGCGAGAGGCGGCGAGAGGCGGCGGGGTTTCAAGCGTTTGAGTTTATTCAGGGTCATGATTTTGCCTCTTGCGTGTGGGGTGTTCACAATTTGATTTGGGAAATGAGTGTGCTTGTTTGAGGGTTGATTTTATTTTTCTATGCTATGTTTTAATTGTCTGCCTCTTGTCTAAGCCCCAACAATAGAGCACCCGACAAGTGGATTGACAAATCGCTTGTGCAAAGCCGCTCCCATCCTCCACTTTGCTGACCAGCTCAACAATTTTGACACAAGACAAATGGCCCCCCCCCCCCCTCGTTAGTCAATTGGTATGGTTCCATGTAAGGCAATCCTTCCGATTAACCATATCTGCCAGTTTTTGGCGGGCATCCGCAACAGAATGTATTGCCTTGCATTGGTCCCCAATTTATTCATAGCGGGTATGCAAGATTCTCCCTTGGCCACAAGCTCCACAAAAGGCCAGTGGCCTACACCGATGGCCCATGTAGCTTTCTCTAAGAGGCCTTGGCGGCTTGGCAGGCAGTTGGTACATCCAAGACACCGGTCTTTGGCCGGAAGCTCGGGCTTGACGCCGACAAGTCACCAATCCCAATTTTGCGCTTGCTTTCGGGGCTTGAGATGGTTTTAGTACAAGCAGCAAGGCTAGTTTCTACTAAGGGAGCCGAGGGAGCCGTGACCATCACCTGTATTCTCACCCAGTTGTTCAGGTGCACACCTGGTATCTCTTCTTGTTTGGTGGCTTCTTCTTTGAACATGGCCTGCCCCGAACAGGCGCTCCTTTTCCTATCTTTAGGGTCACGGCAGCTGGGTGCTTGTCAAGGCGTCGCGCCGCCACCCAAGTTGTGCTCCAGACTGGGGCGGCATGCAGCGACCTCACTTGTCCTCGGGTGCTTTGGGTCGAGCCAGTGCAACGCTGGGGCCAGCCCCCCATCGTTCGCCTCCAGCCATCGAGGAAAAAACATCCGGGTTCAGGCACGGTTGTTTTGGAAGCCCTGAACTCACGTGAAGCTCCAACGTGTGGCATCCCAAGACGAAAGCAACAGCTACTTTGCTGTCCGGATTTGCGCGCACCTTTGAGCAAGTTCCTCTGGGTCCTGGGCTCTCTCAGATTGCCACTAGCCCCTAAATCACGATCTACAAGTATAATCTTTGCAGCACCCTGTACGTAGTGGCCTTTCTTTATTGGAATTCTGCGTCCCAAGCTCTCGTTGTTGTTTTTTTGTTTTTTCTTTTTCATGTTTTTTCCGGTTCGGGGGTAAGCCAACTCGGCGCCTAGGTGGATGGGTGCAGACCTACGCCAGACCTTTCTGCAGCAGAACCGGGGCTTCCGCTGCCTCTGCGTGCGCTGCAGACGCCCGGCGCTTGGTCACACCGTCGGGCCTCGGAAGGGGCTCTCACCACTTGTGTCGGTGTGGCTCCAAGGGAGCCACCACAATCCGCAGGGTTTATGTCACTTTTACACCAGCCCAAAACGGGGTACCGTTTTAAAAGACCCACCCGTGTGTGTGTGTGTGTGTGTGTTCGATTTCTCCAACGACCAATGCCTTCTGTGTACTAGCAGGAAGCGATCAGTGGTAAATTGACCACCTGGTTGTGTTTTGCAAGGCGAGCGGTTGTTTAACCTACTTGGTAAGTAGATTGCTGAAGGCTCCAACGTCCCTCCAGTTTGAGCTTCTTTTCTGGAAGCCGGCTTTTTTGGTTTGACCTACTTTCTTGGGTGTCTAATATAATAGTCTGTGCCATGGGTGGGGCCCTAGGCCGGGCTCCCGGAAAGGATTTGTTGGTCCAACGCGGCCATGTTCGGGATGTGCCACTGTAAATTTGCAGGGGAATTGGCCTGCGCTCCCCAAGATGAAAATCTCACTTCCTCAGTTCATGAACTTGAAACTTTTTTGGGGAAGACCATGTTCGTGGTAAATTTAAAGTTTGAACTTTGTTTTGGGCCATCCACTCAGCAAGTCAGAGATAGTCGGGTATTCTAACAGACCTTACTTCCTTGTCACTCCCAAGTTGCTGCGGCTCCTGCGGCTTCCCTGAGTTTTGCTCACGATCAGCGGTGCGCAGGGCGCAGGGAGAATTGTGGGCCCTGAAGTTTCAAGGGCGACGCAATTCAATACATCGACTGCGAATTCTTGGTGAGAGGTTCCGACCCCAAGCCAACCTTGGTAAGGTCAAGCATGGCAGTCGCTCTTCAGTTTCATTGATCACTAACTTGTAAATAATTGAAAATAGTCGGTTGCTGCGCTCCCAGATGCTTCTGCAATGATGGGGGTTGTGCCCATATGGGGCATATGTATGAATCTATAAGTATAATATATGCACATGCGTTTCCACGGGGTTGCTGAATCCCATGGATTGAGTAGGTTCTTTGGATCAGCTTACTCTTGGTGGTTTGAATTGATTTGGATTTCAATTTGAGCTCCTTTTTGAATTTGAGCTCCTTTTTTTACTGGGTAGCTACATGGGACACCAATTCAATCAAATTTCTGGTCGCCCACCCATCCCCAGACTTTTTCACACAGCGGCTTGGCAGGAACATATTGGCATCAGGTCCCTTAAAGCAGCATTTTTGAGGGTTCCCAAAGTTGCTTTTGGGGCGGTTGCCTTCAAAGCCGCCATTTCGAGGATCATTTTGAGGATTTCGTGTTTTCTTCCATATCCGCGACCATGGGAGCATGCCGTGTCATGCTGTCGCCGTGCTGATTCACTCGTGGCTCGGTTCACAAGGCCCTGCTACGCGGGTTTGTTGGAACACGGCGGACAAACTCAAATCAAAATCCGCCAGTTTGGTCATTCCTCTCAGAATTGGCGTGCCATTTTTATCACGTCCAAAATCAAGATGCTCCACTAGAAGCAAAATATATTTCCTTAGTCGAGGCCTCGCTCACGTGGTTGCCATGGGAGCCTGTGCTTCGCAGTGTGAAGGTGAGGATGCTTCAGCAGCAGCTCCTGTCAAGCATTTGCATCAGTGCCTTTTCCCAATGTACGTTGTGAAGGCCTTTGGTTTCAAATGATGCCGGCCGTGACGGAACTGGATGTGAACTTTACTTTTGTACTCATTGTGCGGAGATTTACCTATGTTGTACTGAAATTTGTCAGGGTATGTGACCAAAGGCAAGTTGGGACCACTTGTAGCGCATGGATGGACATGCATTTGAGACAGGCATTTGGGACATGCATTTGGATAAGGGAACGGGGTTTATTGCCTTTAGTCGGTAGAGGGTACCAGGTAACGAGATTTCTGCCAACTGCCGGCCCAGATGTTTGTGCGGGATTCCGGCTCCTGAGTTCCATGCGTTTCTGATTTTTTCTGACCGCGGCCGGCTTTCCCCTCAGCCTGACAGGTCTCTGACTTTCTGGAGATGAAGGGCGTGCCAGAACCACACCACATACTCCTTCAGAAGGGTTTGCTGCACCAATGGGCCCCAGGCATGCGGGTGATTTTCGTCTCGCACCAATGGCTGGGCAGCGCGCACCCGGACCCGCAGGGACGACACGCGGCGGCGTTGCGGAGCACTCTGCAGGGAATGCTGGATGGAGTCTTGGCACCTATGTTTTGAATGGAAGCTGAAAGGGTTTTGGAAGACACTCTATTTGAGTTGCCCCGTGTGCACTTTGGCAGTTGGAAAGAGGGTATCTTCGGATTCATCCGCAGGACCATGCTGGTCAGAGGAAATAGCTAAAGTGGGAACAGCCCCTTGGTCCGAAGTTAACTAAGTTAACCTTAGTTGGGATAGTCCCAACGATGACTGGGTGTCGTTTCACACCTGCAGGTTGCAGCCTAGGACAGTGATTGACGTATCCAACAAAACGAAGATTCCAAATTTAAGGGGCTTAGTCTTGCTGATTGTGACGCTCCAAAACCAATAAGCATCGCAACACTTTGTTGTCATGCTTCAGCAATGCCTTCTGACGTTCATCAAGGAACTCTGCAAGTTGAGATGGACGTGGCCTACGGCCTGGACGTCAATTTTGGAGATTTCGTGCCTGGGCTGAAGGTTGTTGCGCCAATCATCGGCGTCGGCCCTGAATAGTTCTTGCTGTTGTTCCAACATGTTTGTCGCGATTGAAGTTGATAAACTTTCTCAAAGGGTACCCGGTGTGTCTCAACCAGGTGACCACATGTTTGTTGTCCAAAGGGAGCCAAAAGGAAACATGGAAACATGCCAGTCCTTTGGCGCCTACTTCATTTGCGCAGGTGGATTCTTGAGGGTGCCCTTTTCTGTTTGGCTCAAAGCGAAGCCAAAAGGCACACCGAAATCGATTTTGCGGATCCCAACCCCTCAATCTGACACATACCAAGGTTTACCCAGAGGGAAACCAACAGGGGGATCGAAAGTTGTTTTTTCCCAGACCCTGTACATCGCAATCAGCAGAATCCGCAGGTGGAGTACATTCGGCAAAACGTACTTTCCGGCTACATCTTCTTGGACTGGTTTGCGATTCCCCAGATCACCGCTCGCACCGGCGGGGTCAACGAAGAGAGCACCAAAAGTGATGCAGCGCTGGCCGTTCAAAGCATCCCATTCTATGCAGCTTGGTGGTTAGCCGTACGGGTCCTTACACTTTTAGACTTTTAGGGTTTAGAGTTGGATTTTTGGCCTTTCTAACTGAAAGTTGAACTTGCAGGGCCGGTGATACTGTAGATGGACACAGTCCTGCACCACCTAAGGCACCCTGGAATGATGATTCCCTTGTAACTACCAACGCGCAACGGCTTCCCATGGTTTCAAAGTCGTGCAGGATTTCGCCCATCCGCAGTGTGCCCCTTTCAGACATCGCCCCACTCGACCTGTACCCAATGGACCGAGGTGGAGACCTCGAACATTTTTCTGGCGCTGGTGCCCGAGCTGAAGCACCACGACACGAGGAAGTGTTGCAACTACACCTCCTGGCTGTCCAGAGGAGGGTTGAAAAAGTTGAAAATCGGTCGAGGTTCCCAAGATGGGCATGTCTTCAAATAGCGACCCGCAAAATGGATGGCTTCATTTGAATGTCTCTAACCAACCTCAATAAGGGGTACCCCGCATTCCCCATTTCGGATGGTTTGGAAATCAGGATGGTGCAACATTTGGAAGGGAAGTACTGAGAGCACTTGTTGAGAGAACTGTTCCAAACCGCCGCGAACAAATAAGCTCAGGTGATATCCCCAACAGCATGCGGTGATCTTTGTAGTGCTCGCACCACCCCGCAGCCGTCGCAGAACCTCGTGGAACCCTCGTGGAACGTTGGTGGAACCCTCGTGGAACCTTACCTCAGGGCCGCCCCGGACCACCCCGGAGCCTACCTGGGCTTTCAGTTGTTGGGGAAAAAGAGAAGCAAGTAATTTTTGGGGACATCGTTCAAAAATGAACCCAGTGGGTGGAAAGATGGTTTCGGATGAAGTTTATGCCGCATTTTAAGCCATTGGCCTGTCAAATGGCAAGCCTAAAGCAGCGTGCTAGTTTGCAATTATCAGTGCAGGACAAAAAGTCCCTTCCGCGTAAAGAAGGCACGTTGCCCAGGAACTTCTGTGGCCCAGGAAAACATGGGGTGACAGCGAGACCAGGTCTTCTCTTCTTCCTTGGTTCTCTGCGCGCGCGTATGTCCCAAGATACGGGGTAGGTGGGATTGTGTGAATCCGGTAGATTTCGGGCTTCATCTCATCCCCGTGTCATCCCATGAATTTGCGGTTGCTCTCGCACACTATCCCCCGTGAATCGAAGACATCCACCGGACATGCGTTGATTTTTTGGGCTTTGGCCCGCCGCTGGGCCCCTTGAAGGATGGTGTCGGGCAGAGTTATGGTGCCACCTCTTGTCCGACAAGCCCTTCACGCAGGCGGTGTTGGCAGTGGGAATGTCCGAGCTTGGTCTGGGTCATTGCATTGTCAAAATCACCCTCCAAAAAGTAGTTTAAATGGGAAACCCCAGAACCAACAGTAATCAGGACCCAATAGTAACTCGAAGAACGGGCTCCTTAAAGGCAACTTTAAGGGACCCATTTGGTGTGGAAAAACTTTCATTGGGATGTCCTTGGGTTCCCAGACTTGGTTTGGCCAGTTCACAGAAGCGACATGGGGTTTCTGCGCAATTTGGATGATAGAATCCCAGCATTGGCGATCAAGCACTTGATCAGCAGCCTCGGGCGCGATCGATCGATCGGTCGCTCGGTCGCTCGAGCGTCGGCTCCGCCTTTGGGTCTTCGGGACTCCGCGGCCTCTTTCCAGGAGAAATCTTTCCAGGAGAAATCGAGCAACCAGTCAAATGTTGGCGGTTCAGTGGCTGGATTTCAACCACTCCGCAAGAAGCAAAAATCGGAAAAATGTTGCTCAACAACCATGAAACGATGGACCTCAATGCCACTTAGGGCAACCAAATGGGAACCAAACTTCCAAACTTTTGTGGACCCAAGCTCATTCTGCAGGGCTCGCCGTAGGGTGGACTCAATTCACCCACCAGGGCAGCACCTGTGAGTCATGCCAGCCCGCAAGCTTTACGGGATTCATGGGAAGCGAAGTTCAGATGAGGCCAGCTGGGATCTCTCGATGTGGTTCCACCAAAAAGCACGGATCTCCTAAAATGCGGAAGGAATGCATGTGGCTGTGTGGCTTCCCTTTTGGGTTGTTTTCTCAAGGGAAACAAAAGGGAAGCCGACACAACAAATGGCGATGTATGTCGGTCTCAGGAAAGCGGGGAGATGAGCCATCCCTGAAATCGGCAGATTGCCTTTGGCCTTCCGACTGACCCGTTGCACCGGGCTTCAGGTCATCGTGGTCTACTCCACCAAAGAGTCGCAGTTCATGTTCCCCAGAGACTGGCAGGACCAGGCTTCACTGTT